CACGCGCCGCCCGCGGCAAATCCGACTGAGAGTCATGCATCGCGCCACCGAAGCAGGTCGCCTCAGAACTCGCCCTTGCGAGCCTCCAGCTCGCTCTGCACCAGCGCCTTGGCCCAGGCGATGGCGGCCTCCTGAGTGGCAGATGAAAACCGTCATAAACGCAAAGTGGCCCGCGGGGTCTCTTTGCGCATATGATTGGAGCGAGGCCACGCGCGGCCGCAACAACGCGCTCCGCCGCCGCGCATCGAGCCCCGTGGCCACGCCGATTGGAGGAGATGGGACCCAAAAGTGTCCTTCTCCTTGCCGTTCCTGTACTTCTTGCTCTTGGTGCCGCCTGGCCCGCTGCGCCCGCTCCTGAAGAGAATCTGGCTGCGAGTGGTCTCGTCGTCATACCGCGGTGCTTTCAGCTTGCATGCTGCCGCCTTCGCCTTCGCAATCTTCTTCGGTGTTGCCTCGGCTTTTGCCTTGCCTTTGCCTTCGCCGCCGATGGCTTCGCCGTGCCATCTGAAGCCTTTGTCTTCGCCAAGGCCGCCACTGCGTCGGACTTCCCCCGCTTCTTCTCGCCCTTCTCCGCTTTCCAGCCAGAGGAAGTACGTTGCCCCGCCGCTTGGAGGAGAACCAGGGCAGCGTCGGCAGGCAGCTTCGCCAGCGGCAGTGTCGGATCCACCTTGACAGCGGCAAGTGGCAATAACCAATCGCCGCGCCTGCGACGCCCCGCAGAGGGCGCGCCGCTGCCTTGGGCAGAGGCGCGCCCCCGTGAATCGCGGAGGCCGCGGAGGCGGGCCCAGGTTACCGTCCAAAAACCTTTGCCTTCTTCTGCGGCGCCCCCTTCGCGTCCACCTCGGACTCGCTCGAGCTCAGCACCATGACGTCAACGGCCGATGCCTTGACCTTGGCGCCACCGCCCAACTTTGAGGCCGCGGCCGCAGGCGCCGCTCCCGACATCGCGGCAGGCTTGCCCGCGGGAGCTGCTGGAGTGGGAGTCGTCGGCCCGCGCTGCGAGACGAGGGCGGCCGCCGCTGGGTTCGGCCACCCGCCGCGGGTGTTGTGCGTTGGGATCACCCCCAACGGCAACGCCGCTGGCGTCGCGGCTCCCAAGGGAGGCGTCGCGGCAATCGTCGCGGCTGCAACCGCAACGCTTTGCATCGGAGAAGGCGGCGGCAGAGGCGCGAAGGCGATCGGCGGCAACGCCGCCCGCTGCGGCGTTGCCTGGGCGCCGAGCGCTGCGTTCCTGTTGCCGCGCAAGCTGATGAGCTTCCCGAGGATCTGCGTCTCGAGAAGCCCAATTGTCGGCTGCACGGGCCCCTCCGAGGCGAACGCCTGCTCGTACAGCGTCGGCCTCTCCTGCTGGAACAGCGCCGCCGAGGGGGGGAGCGCGCCGACAAACTCGGTCGCCTTGCCTCGAGCAGCTGTGTAGGCAGGGGAACGCCACGTGGTCTTCACCAACTGCAAGTACACGTCCAAGAGCTGCGGAGTCGGCGAATTCTTCTCGATGCCTGATCGCTGGCACGCCAGGAACATGAACGCGGCTAGCATGCCAAACGTCGGCTCGGAAGGGTTCCGGAGCCCGAGGCGCTCCAAGTGGCGCATCAACATGACAAATTTCGAAGCGAACGACTCGGTTGGGCTCAGCAGCACGTGCCACGTGGAGGCAGTAAGCAACTCCACGAAGCACTCGTAACTTTGCCCTTTGGCCTTCGTGCGCCTCCCGCAGAGCCACTCGGTCGCGGCGCCGACCAAATCGTGACTGAACCCCGTCTGCCCGAGCTGGGTCAGCAGCTGCCCTTTCTCCGTGGCCGTCCACCTGCAAAACGACGGGGGAATGTTAGACGGCGGGGAGGAGGGGGGAGCGGGCGGCGTTCCGCCGAACGGAGGCGGGGACCTCCTCGAAGGGGGAACGGATGGCCTCTCGCCCGTACGGGATCTTTGACCCGAGCCTCACCTCTGGCCTTCGATGAGCGCGCGCACCTTCCCGAAGTGCAGCTGCTCTGCAGCGCCCCTGGAAGGCCCGCTCGCCGCTGCAAGCGCCGCGGCTGCCTCGCCCAGGGCAGCCTGGACGCGCTCCATCGCGCCGCGGCGCGTCGGGGGGCGCCCGCCCCGCGGCCCCTCCAGAAGCGCTCGGTGGGACAGGGGCAGCGTATTGTGGCGAAGGGAAATGGCATGGCCCTTCACGTCTTCCTTCTGCTATCCTCTCCTCCCCCCTCTCCCCTCCTCCCCCCTCCTGGGCGGTGCGCCGCCAATGCGACCAATCAAACGGTATATGATGAAACGTGCGCCGAAGGCGGTGCACCGCCAACGAATGCAGAAACACCTCGCGCAATCAAGGTGACGTGGGCGGTGGGCCGCCAAATGCGATGACAAACTCGGGCGAAGCATGCGCCGCGGGCGGTGCACCGCCAACGCGAAAGAAACGCATCGCGCAATCACGGGGACGTGGGCGGTGTACCGCCAAATTCGATGACGAATTCGGATGAAACGTGCTGCGTGGGCGGTGCTCCGCCGATGCGTGAAGAAACGATTCGCGCAATCAAGGGAACGTGGGCGGTGCACCGCCAACGCGACGAAACTTCAATCAACATGTGCAAAACGTACAAATTGCAATACGCGGGCAAAACATAGCGATGGGCGGTGCGCCGCCAATGCGATAAAACTGCTCAGAATTTGCAAGACGTGGGCGGTGGGCCGCCGAAACGAATCACATCAGAACGCGCCGCGATGAGAAGTGCGGGCGGTGTGCCGCCAATGCGCATGGCATCCCCTCCCGATCCCCCCCCCGCCATTCCCGCCCCCTCTCTCCTACCCCCCAGGCTGCGCGGGTTGAGCTCGGTGATGAACGGCCTTCTCGGTCGCCTGGCGCCTGGCGAAACACTGTGCTGAAGAAAACCTGCGCGTTTTTCGGTGTCCGACCCCCTTTTCAAAAAGCAGACGAAAAAAGACTTAGGACTTAAACTTATCGGTACTTAAACTTATAACCGACTTACACTTAAGTAAAGTTATAATAAGTATAATATAAGTAAACTTAACTTATAAGTATGGCAATTGGGTGCACACAAGTAACATATGTTCTACATGTGATTTAAGTATATATGTTAATGACTTAAGTTAGATGTGGATGGTAGCTGCAGGATCTTAACATATCTCACTACAAGTGATTTCAAGTTACTTACAAATAACTTCATATATAATTGAAGTAACTTATAAGTGACTTCATCTGACATAAATCTCATATATTTCCAGCCGCGCCTCAGTCGGGGGCCTGCCGTGGGCCGAAAGCTGGGCGAGGGCTGCTAAAATCGCGGCTGCTAAAAAAACGGCCCTCCCGGAAGGCAAACACAGCTTCCCGGAATGAGTCGCGGCACGCGAACCAGTCGACGGGCTTCTTCCCGGAAGGACGGAGACAACTTCCCGGAGGTCGATTTTAGCAGCCACGGATTTAGCAGCCCTTGCCCGGCTTCCGAGTGGGCACGCTTGGGCCGCCCTGTAGCGTCATTGGAGCCTCTTGAGGGTTCCCTGAAGCCGTCGGGCTCTCTGGGGCGCCCCCCTGGGGATATCGTGGGGCCCATGACAGCTGGATGCCTTCTGGAGGCCATCCTGGGCCATCTCGGAGCTCTCTTGCCGCCCCTCCTTGCATCCCCTGGGCCGGCCTCGGGGCCTGTTCGGGGCGCCCTTGTGCCGTCTTGGCACCCCGTCCAAGGCTCCCCAGGCGATGTGAAGCCGAACACCCTGGGAAGTGTCATCACGTAGCATACAGATAAAGTCGTACGAATGGTTCTTGACTATATGGGGTCTCTTTGAGCCCCGTTGATCCTCCTGGGTCTCTTTGAGCACCTGTGAGCCTCCTCGGGGCATCTTGGGAATCTCGCCTGGGCCTTAGGGGACGAGCTCGAAGCCTGCTGGGCCTTCCCAGAGCCATCTTCGGCCATCTTGGCGGCCTCCGGGGCCACTGGGATCCACTTCTGCGGTGCACGAGACTTTCCGTCTCCCGCTCCCAAGGCCCCCTCTCTCGCTCAGGGGCAGTGTGAGGAAGAAGGTCTTCTCAGAAGGCGGCGGGGCTTCTCGGAATCCCTCCGGCCTTCTGAGATGGTTCCAGTGCCTTCGGGGAGGGCTCAGAAAACTTCTTGCAAGGCCCGAGGCTTCCCGAGCCTTCTGAGAAGGCCCGCCTCTTCTCGTCATCCACCCCAGGCTCGCCGCCGATGCACCCTGTCCTCGCCTGCCCCCCGCCTCTGCGCCCCTCACTTCCACCGGTCTCCTCGCCCCCCCCCCCCTCGACGCAGTCGCTGCGCTCGGTCGTCCGCGGTCGTCGTCCTCGCCGTCGTCCCTGGTCGTCGCCGCGTCGCCGTCGCCTGTGGCCGCCCGTTTTTCTCCCCTCTTGTCTGGACCTCGCGCCCTCTCGGGGAACCCGCGCGTGGCCAACCGCTGCGGAGGCCGAGTGTCTCTCCAAGTGCACACGGCGGGCTGCGGCTGTCAGCGGCGTCGAGGCCTGGCGCCTGCTGCTTCGGGTCGGGGTCGGGTCGGCCAGCCCCTGGCGTTCGTCATCAACTGCGTGAGCGTCCCCGAGCTCCCTCCCCCCGCATGGCCCTCTCTTCCCGTCCGCTCCCCTCTCCTGCGTCCTTCCCATCCCCTCCTCCCACTCCCCCATCTGCTCCCCTGGAGCGGTGGACCAGCGATCCAGCCGACCAGCCAGCCGACCCATCAAAACAAGCAGGTCTTCCACCCAACCCACAATCAAACAGGCCAGACATCTAGCGGCCAGCTGGCCAGTCAGGGACACCAGCAGCAGAGGGCGAAATCCTCAAGACGGAAAAAATGCCGAACAGGTTGAGCGACGTCTGCAGCTACAGAATCACCAAGCACGTCCCAGTGCGGGGCCAAGTGTTGCCCACGCGAGAGTGCTATACAGGAGCCGCAGGAAGAGGGAAGCGCATGAGGAGGGGTAAGGGGCAAGGCGCACAAGGGAGGGATCGCGAGTGCTAGGGGACGACGCAGAATCCCCAGCACTCTCACTTCGCCACCATGCTGGCCGCATTGTGCGTCGATAGGTACAAGCCCGCCGCGAGGATCCCGCCGACCACTTCGAAGAGGGCGTAGTACAGACCGTAAGTGTACACGTCGCTGAAGGTACCCTCCCCGCCCATCGCGCCGCCCGACGCGACTCCGAAGGACACCGCTGGGTTCAGGCTGCCACCCGAGATGCCGCCGATCGCGTAGCCGCCCACCGTGACGCAGGAGCCGATGGCGAGCCCGAAGACCTCCGAGTAACCGCCCTTCTGCGCGCTGGGAGAGCAGGCGACGCTCAGCACGACGAAGCAGAGGACGAAAGTGAAGAAGATCTCGGCCACCGCCGCCGCGCCCAGCCCGTAGCCGTCGGCCGGGGCGAGGGTCGTCGAGGCCCCCGCGTAGATGACGGTGTAGGTGGCCGTTGCCAAGATCGCGCCGAGCATCTGGAAGCACACGTAGATGCCGGCCTCGATCGTGTCGACCTTCCCTATAGCCCACACAGCCGCGGTCACCGCTGGGTTGAAGTGGGCCCCCGAGACGTCGCCCAGCGCAAAGATCATGCACATGAGCGATGCGGCGATGGAGAAGACCTCTCCATCGCCAAGGACATTCAGGCCAACCGTCAGCACAAGAAAGTAGGTCCCGAGGAATTCAGAAGTCACCTTCGCGGTCCTCCCAGCGGGCTGCCCCAGCTCGAACTCATCCGGCCGAACCACTACGTAGAGTGCGGAGGCCAACGCGGCACCTGTGAGCTCGAACGCAATGTACACCGGGGAGTACCCGAAGCTCAAGCTGCCCGCCTCGATACCGAGCGCGACCGCGGGGTTGAAGCAGCCCCCGGAGACGACGCCGGCCCCGTAGGCGCCCGCGACGATCACGAAGCCGATCGAAAGGCCGTAGAACTGGTGATTGCCAGCGTTCGCCGTAGAGCAGGCGGTGTTCAAGACCACGAAGCAAAGCATGAAAGTGTACAGGAGCTCACAGAGACCCGCCTGCCAGAACCCGAAGCCCGCGGTCGGCTCGAGGGCGAAGCCGGCCCCGAGCAGGCCGCGGTAGCTCAAGCCCGCGCACGCACCGGCGAGCACCTGCGTCACCGTGTAGAGGCCGACGTCCTTCCACTCCAGCTTCCTCGGTGAAGGCGGGGGGATAAGGGCAGATCCGCTCAAAATAGGTCCCCCGACCCCTACCAGGGTCCGCCTGGAACAGCTTGTCCCTCTGGATATCCGTTTTCGGCGGTCCAGGGGCCAGGAAGCGGCCCCCCGGAGGCTCCGAGAGAGGCAACGGAGAGACCTTCCCGAGCCAAGAGGGGCTGCCTCGAGATGCCGAGCGCGACGGAGACCGCGGGGTTGAAGTTGGCGCCGGAGATCGGGGCCAGGGCATCTCGGCTGCACGCAGGAGCGGGGAGGGACGGACAAGAGTGAAGCGGCCCACAAACACACAAGTAAATACGCACAAATAAAACAGATTCCCCATATTTTCTTTATATGTTCTGGGTTTTTGTTTTTCCCCCCCCCACTTCCCATATTTTCATATATTTCCCGGGGGATCGACGATCAATTGTGTCTGTGTGTTTCTCTCCCTCCTGAAAGAGGAGCAGCGACCACCTGGGAAGACGCGCCGAGGCCGGGCTCGGGGATTATAAAGGAGCGTTGGAAAAAAAAATAGTTTTAGGTCGGGCACGTCTTCCTAAGCAGGCGGCAATTTCGGGCGGACAGGGAAGAATGGTCAAGCAGACAGAGAGTCGTGCCCAACTTATTGTGGGGCCATGCTTGAACATCTCTCCTGTAGAGGGGCACGCCCGACTCAAGGGCAGCTGCACAACCGACGCCACCAGGGGCAGTTCGGACGGGAAGCGTGGGGGATGCGACACCACCGACGCGGCCTTCGGGGTTCGACCGACCGACCAAAGCACAGAGAGGTACAGAAGTAGACAGAGCCGCGCGAGTCGACGGAGAACTGGAGGAGGCGGAAGCATGAGAGGGCGCACGGAGGAGGAGGATGAGGAGGAGGAGGAGGGCAGAGGAGCACGAGGGAGGAAGGGAGGCGGAGCACGAAGGCAGAACGAGGAGGGAGGAGGAGGAGGAGGAGCACGAGGAACACGAGGAGGAGGAGGAGGAGGAGGAGGAGGACGAGGAACACGAGGAGGAGGAGGAGGAGGAAGAGGAGGAGGAGGAGGTGGAGGAAGATATGGAGGAGGAGGAGGAGGAGGAGGAGGAGGAGGAGGAGGAGGAGGGCCAATGGGCGAGAGCGGCCCCTGGCGTTGTTTGCCCACCGCTGGCACGCGGAGCGACGGCAGCGGCCCGCGCGCCTGGGCACGGCCCCCCGCGCCGCGGAGCGCCGCGCACCTGAGGCGACGACGAGGGAGCAGCGCACGGCCGGACCTTACCAGCCTCGAACGTATCCCTATCCCTAAGATTGACACGCCAAAAGGCGATAACAATCTTAGGGATCCGGCCTCAAAAATTAAGGGAATTCCTAAGATTGGCATCGTGATGAGGAGGTGCCCAGCATAGGGATAGGGATATGTTCCAGGCTGGTAAAGAC